AGCAGTGGTATCAACGCAGAGTACTCTCCATAGACAATCGCATCGTCTTCGCTTGGCTTTAGTTCTATACCTTCGTATGTCCCTTTGGGGAATGTAATGTTCACATATCGAGCAATGGAGATCCGTCCACTGTCATTTGACTTCTCGGTTCGGTCACTCCACTGCACTCCATGGATCACTGTTCTTTCCCAGGCTTCAGCTTCGATGCTGATGTCATCAATCGATTCAGTCGTTGTCTTTTTGTGATAAAGTGTGATTGTATCGTCAAACCTTAATATGCACCTACCAATCCGGTTCCGGACAGCATCTCGATGATACTTGATCGAATGTCTTCTTCAAGATCTTCAGCAGTCGTCTGCGAATAACTTTCGGAATATCCGTCGTTTGATACGGATGTCAATCCTTTTCCGGCTCCGCTTTTTTCATAGAAATCAAGTTTTGTGATTACATTCATGATGGTTTCTTGCAGTATTCCAAAACCGAATGTTTCTTCTGTGATCGTCGCATATTTGATTGGACCGATGACACTTCTGACTTTCGACTCTGCTTGGATCAGAAGTCGATTGAAATCTTCTTCGCTTATTTTTCCATTATAAAGGGAGTCGAACAACTCCCAAGTAACAATATTACTCCTTTTCGACTCCCTTCTTTTGACTCTACTGTGCGGGTGCTACCAGGATGTTGTTAAGGACTCCGGCCTTCTTGCTGTTCTTGAGTACGACTCCGGCAACAAGTTCTGCTTCTCCGACCTTAACTGCTCCAGGAAGATCGAAGTTAGGAAGATAAGTCTTCACGATGGCACTCTTCTCTGTGGGAGAAATTCCATGGAATCCGTCAAGTCCTAATTTAAGACCAACGATTGATGAAGCACCGGTCTTTGCATCTGTGCCAACGACATCAAGTTCAGCAGATCCGTTCCAATACTGACCACCATCAACAAGAGTGATTCCGTCAAACTTGTCAACAGTTCTTCCGAATGCATCCTCTGACTGTGAGAAATATCCGGCCAATCTCGCAATATACTTGATCTTTGAGAGCATCTTGCTGTTCATCATTAACATGTCCGGCTTTTCAGCGAAAAGACCAAGCCAATCATAAAGCTGAACAAGGAATGCATCTGCATTTGCCTTTGCGTTTGCGGCTGTTGAAAGATCAATTGCTGTGCTTGGTGTCACTTCTGTTGAAGTGCCGGCAACAAGCTTTCTGACTCCGTCGAAGTTTGTCTTGATGTAACCGGCCGGTGTGCTTGATGCACTGTTTCCGTTGATTACTGCATAATGGAAATAGTTTGAAGCGGCCTTGACCTTTTCCTTCAACTGAAATTCAACTTCATTCACAACACCGGAAGTGTTCTGAATTACTCTGTCAATTTCGAATGATCCACCGAAGATGTCAAGATCTGCTGTCTTCTTCACTCTCTTTGCTTCCTGGGGAGTATATTCAGTGTTGAGTGTTCTGCGTGATGCTGTTCCTGGAGTCTGTAACTGCATATATCCGTATGTCAGTGTTGATCCACCGGTTCCAGGCGCAACTGCATCGTCGAATGTTAACTGATCAAGAAGGAATGAATCTCTTCTGAATTCATCAATGACCATCTGATCAACTTTGTCGGACATGCCGACTTTTGCTTCTGCAAGTGTGATTGCCCTTGTTTTGTTCTCCTTTTAATTATTTATTTGAATAAAATTCTGCCAATGCTGAATGCATTGTTGTTTCTTCTGCTTTTCCGGTCTTCTGCACTGTTCCGATTGGATCTCCCTTTCCGATAGGAGTCGGATCATCAGTTCCAAAAAGCATTTTTGAATCGTCAGCTTCAGTCAGTGACTTAACTGCGTTCAACACATCTTCCTTCTGATTCTTGGATGCTTTGAGATCATCCATCTTCAAAAGTGATTTGATCGCAACTGCGTTCAAGCCTTTATGCTCTGCAATTGCCTTGTCAACTAAATCATTAAAGTCTCGATCTGCAATCTGTTTCTGATATTCAGCATCTTTGTCCTCGACTGCCTTTGTGAGTTCTGCAATCTTCTGATTCAGTTCTTCCGGTTTTACTCCGTCAAACTTCTTCAGTTCTTCCTTGGTTTCGTTGACAGTCTGTTCAAGTGACTCGATCTTTGCAGTCTGCTTGTCATAGTCAACTATGGTTTTGTAGTTCTCTTTGACTCCGGCAAGAATCTTTGCCTTCTGCTCGTCTGTGACTTCGATTCCGGCTTCAGATAAAATTGTTTCAATGTTCTTCATGATTTTCCTCCTAAAATAATTTATAAACCGATCTTTCATCGGTAGGGACTGCTGTGACAAGGAGATGAACCTTGTGATCTTGGCTTAATGAGACCAAAATCGCACCGACCACAGCACTGTGTAGCAATACATCATGAAAGGGGTAAAAAATTATGAAAAAGATTGCGGCCGCCGGATTTGAACCGACACCTTTGGCTAAGGAGACCAAAATGCTTCCAGGTTACACTAAACCGCTATGCAATAAAAAAGGACTGACAGCATTTCTGCTTCAGTCCAATCACTCTGCGTTGAATCCAATTATTCAACGGACAATATTCTTTTTAACTTCAAGGATCTGCCATGATCCGTCCGGTTTCTTTCGGATCTCGGCATTGTTTCCTCGTTTCAAGATCTGTTCGATTTTTTGGTAAAGTTCTTTTTCACTCATGTGACTATTATATCACAAATTTAACTGCAATACTATGTCGACACTGTCAAGGCACTTCTTCTCGGATTGATTCCGGTTGACTGACTGATTCCGTAATACTTTTGAATAGTCTGTGAAAGCTTTGCCTTCAGTTTGGTTGTATCCTCTCCAAGAGCAGTCCTGGTTGCAATCTCTCTCTTCAAAGATCTGATCTCTCTCTCGGATTTACGCATCAATTGTGTCGCATCGTAATATGGAATACTCTTTTCCGTCAATATTGAATGGTCCAGGTTCTTTGAATTCCGGAATCGGATCTCCTTCATGGTATGGATAGAAATGATGTGCGCAATTTATCCCCATCAGTCCCAAAGGATCTCCATATTGTGTCGAGTGAAAGAAATCATCATATTTGGAACCGGCTGTTGTTCCATCCTTCAAGAGTCCGTTTGAATCGTAGGCATAGACTTGACCTTGCCATACTGCATGAGAAGGCCTTGCTCCGGCATGCGCATCGACATATACCAAAGGAGTGTCGAAGTGCTTCATGTTCTCTTCCTGGATTTTTCCGGTCATTTGGATCAGCGAAGTTCTGACACACATTCTGACTGCTGAATCAAGTTCATAAGATCGCCCGGATTCATAGTCCACAGATCGCAGTCCTCTTTTCGTGAGATCTGCGACTGCATCCTTGATTGCTCTGTCATAGGAGAAGGCACCGGTTGAAGCTTTGAGAGTCGCAAGATCAAGAGTCCTTCGATATGCTTCCATGACTCCACAGTCTCCCCATGTGCCTTTGAATCCCATGGTTCGTGTTATGTTTCGCAAACTTCCTTCAGTCATCTTCTGTGTTGCTTTGACTGTTTCGCTCAAATAATTTGGATTGTTCTTGATGTCGTCCGGAACCTCTCCCCATGCTGAAAGATCAGATCTGAATGACATGTCTCCGGCATTTGCAACAAGCATGTCTCCATTTTCAAGTGCTTCAGCTTCAGTCTCTTTGATCTGTTCGACGACAAACTGCTTGTATTCAAGAGTATTCTGTGCAAGTTCCTTCTGATATTCGGCATCTTTGTTCAGTATCTTGATCACTTCAGTCTGAATCTTTGCCGGACTGAAGCCTTGTTTCCGCATTGCATCGGCCATCAATTCAGCAGTTTCCGTATATCGTGAAGTTTTGAGACATCTTCTCGCAATATCTGATATGACTTCTTTTTCAAGATCCTCGTACAATCCGACAAGATATTTGTCCGAAAGAGCATCTATCTGTTCAAGTGATAACCTTCTGCATTCTCCTATTTCTTATTTTTCGAATCAGATTTGATCTGATCGATTTCTTTGGCATATTTCTCTTTGAAGTATTCATTCGTCTTCTGCTTGATCTCTGCATACTTATCTTTGAGATCTTGGACTGCCTTGTCCTTTTCTTCTTTGGACATTCCGGACATACTTGCTTTCAATTCCTTGATTTTATTTTTGAGTATGTCCAAAAGCTTTTTGTTGAATTCCTTCTTCTCTGCCTTGACAGTCTCTTTTGCTTGATTGGCCATTGCAACACCGGTTGCATTCAGATTCTTCAAAGACAGTCTGCTGACTTTCCTTCCTTTTCTCCTGGAAGTCTTTTTGACTGAAGATCTTCTCCTTCGGCCTTTCAGTTTTCTGTGCTTCATATAATATTCATGTGCTTTTACCGGATCGTATGCCCTTTTTTATTCCTCCAATTCTTTCAGAAGGGAATCAAGATCAAGATCTTCTCCGAGATCTTCTTCGACTCCATCATCAGTCAGATCATCATCAGCAAATGGATCAGTCTGCCCTTTGACGAGATCTTGTGCTTCTTCTTCCGACAGATTGTATCTCTCCATCAAATACCACACAAGGAGCATCGGAATATTGCTGAATGTCATTGCATCATTTCGCATCTCGGTCAGTTTTGTCTGCTTGTCTTCGATGTAAGAATCATCAAATTCAATATTCAGTGACTCTTCGACATTGAAAGATTCTCCATGAAATGTATTTGCAAACCACATGGCCGCATGAATGATGTCTGTGATGTAGTCTTCAGCTTGTTTTCGCTGACGATTTAATTCTTGCATCTGATCTTGTCTTTCGCCAATGTATTCAGTCGCAGTCGTGATCTGTCCATTTTCGAAAGAATACTTCTTTGTACCATAACCAAACGACATTGACAGCAGTGACAGAACAAGTTCAAATGCTTCTGTGATCTGTGCTGTTCTGATCTCCGGATTGTATTCTTTAACAATGTTATCCTGGGAAGGAAGCTTTTCTCCAAGAAGAATGAACAGTTTCTTCTGCTGTGGTGTCAACATGGGATTTCCATCAGCATCCGTCGAGATGCACGCAAGCAATTCGTTAATAAAGACAAGTTTATCCCCATTCGACAGATCTCCAAACAATATGTTGTAGCAAAGATCTGTTGCCTTGAAGAATGGAATCGCATTCCATATCTTGGGCAGTCCATAGCCTTCCATATCATCCAGGTTGTTGACTTCTGCATTCTGCATTATAGCAAAAGGCTTCACTTCTCCGAGTGTAATCACTCTGCTCTCTTCCTTGACTTCTGTTCCATGCTGATCAAAGACAACTGTCTCTGCTTCATACATCCCGGAATCGTTGATCGTAAAGATGACAAGAGTCGTCTTCTGTTTTCCCTTCACAATATTGGTCACAGCAAATGCACATTCAATGACAAGATGATTTTCAACAGTCAATGGAATGATACAGTCTGCATCGACATAATTGATTCGGATTTCTCCACCTTTGGCTTGAACCTTTCCGTTCTGCTCATAATATTCAGCATTACGAATATATATATAAGCACCGACAGTTCCGGTTGCCGAGCATTTTTCCAATTGTTCACGATAGCGCACATCGAATCGGTTTTTCTCAAGAAATGAATCAATGAAATCTTCTGCATTGGTTTCTTCTTCCGGTGCCACCGAAATCAACTCACACAGATTGGCATCATCGGAGCATGATCTCTTGGCGAAATTCAGTCTTGAAAGATGAATCGTCTGTCCGTTCAGATTTTCTCTTGTGTGGAAGTCTGCGATCTCACGACCGGACCACCAATCATCACACACATCGATGATCATCAGTGCGTGATTGTTGACATTGTAGCCTTTTGCGTTCAAATAAGAATTGACACAACTTTTCCTTTTGTTCTCCTTTATCTCTCTAAATCTATAAACTCAATGAAATCGAGCATCGTATACATTAAAGCATCCCACCAATCGTTGATGTTTCCGAGATTCTTGTCTTCCGGAATGTTTGGATGCTTTTCATCCCATCGCAGATTGCTGATTGATCTGATCACATTCGGACATCTCTTGGAGATCTTCAACCTTCCGGTATTCAGCAGAAGATCCATCGTGATTGGACGATCTGCGACTTCATTCTTTCGACATCCGGAGATTTTGCCGGACAGACGATTCTTTCTGCTTGTAGAAATCAGACTGTTGATCAGTGTCGTTGAAGCAGAATCCGGAAAGATCCAATCGACTGCACGATATGTCTCACGACACTTTGTTTCGAATTCTGCAAATGCCTTGCATATTGCTTCAGCATCCACATCATCGGTCAAAGGCAGTCCACATTCTTCCAGGATCACGAAATTCTTGAATCCGTTCATGTAACCATTCAAAACCATTGTTGTCTTTGATCCATTGCCACCGAAGTCGATTCCCATGACAAGATGACTGAATTTCAGTTTGCACTTGCCTTCTTCGTCAAACACATCTGAATCATCAATCAAATATTTTTCAGTGTTCTCCGCAAAGAATCTGAATATCACTCCTTGTGCTATTACCCACAATCCTTTGATGAATCGGTCAAAGAATACTCCGGAGTACATTGCTTTGTATCTTTCGATGATTGCTTTGGTTAGTGTCAAATTGTCTTCCATCTGAAAATGCAGATAGACAAGTTTTCGTTCTCTGCACTGCAAGATCCATTCAACATAGAACCAATGATCCGGACCTTCCGGATTGCAATTGAACCAAAACTTTGAACCATCCACCGAGCATCTTGCTGTTGCTTGTTCAACAAATGACTTCGTCATCAGTGCCACTTCGTCAAAGAATACTCCGGCAAGAGTGAGTCCCTGGATCAATGCTTGTGAAGACTCGTCTTTTCCTCCGAACATATAAAAGATATTAGATCGTCCATTCTTGGACACGACAAGAGTGTTGTCGGACTTGTATTCAATGACTGTGTATCTTTCAGCAATCAACTGCTTCTTCAGTGTGACCACGACATTTCTTTTCAACGATCCAATTGTTTTGCCACACAAAGCAAAGTTCATTCCGTCGAATGTAAACATTGCCCACAAGCAGAATGACAATTCCATTGACACAGTCTTTCCGGATCTGATTGCTCCGTCGCAAATTATTCCGTTGTGATCTTTGTATTGTGGACTGCTCCACCAGGTGAACACCTTTTGCTGTTTCTCTGACAGTGCTGACCATTTGAATTCGGCTTTTTTCATCCTTCTACACTCGGAAGCATTGCCGAATCGTCTCCACTTTCAAAAAGATCTTCTGATCTCTTCTGCAAAGCTTCGATCAATCCGGAATCTTCAACTTCTTCATCCTTCGCACCGATGTCGCAACTGATTTCCTTGATGCTCTTCAAAGCATTCGCCAATTGACTCAATGCAAGTGTATTCACAATACTGTGATATTCAGTGATTGTTTCCTTCTCTTCGATGACTTCTGTGCATGGTTTCCCTTTTCCGTCTTCGGAATACTCAACAATCTTTGTCTTCACTTTGTTCTTTGCGATATACACATCAAGTTCGTCAATTGCCTTTTCGAGTTTCTCTGACAGCTTATCCGTCAGATCAAGAACCTTTGACATGCGATCAACTTCTTGCTTCACGATGATCTGCTCTATTTTTTGACTTACTTCCGCACTCGTCTTGGCCTCCATTTCGTCACGCAGAGTCTTCCATCGTTCTTTGGTTGCCCTTCTTGAAATCGTGCTATATGTCAGACCATACTTGGCCGCCAATGCTCTCTGACTGATTGTCGTTGAGATATATTCATTTTTCAATTTCGACCAATTCGGCTTTTTTCTTTTCATCTTCTCCAATAAAAAAATCGGACTGCACGATTCACAGTCCGATCACTCTTCCACACAGCCAATTCTGTGTGTGACACTATTCTTTTCTATTATATCACAGAAATCTGCTTCAACCAATCTTGACGGATTCAAGCATTTCAGTGATCATCTGATTCAGACTTTTGCCTTTTGCTTCAGCAATAGCCTTGTAGATCTCTTTGTCTCCCTTGGGGACTCTGATCTTTATTTCGTCATAGGCCTTCGCATTGTACTTCGCAACAGCCTTCTTCTGTGCTTCACTGTATTTTGCCATCAGTCATCTTCCTCCACTTCGTTCATATAGTTTTCGCTTTCTTCCCAAATCTGAAGATTCAGCAAACTTCTCAATTCTTCCTTGACTGTGATCCCATCCTTCTTTGCGAGATATTTGATCAATCTCTCTTCTTCATCATTCAATGCTATGTCCACAATATGTCTTGCCATGTCTTTTCTCCCTTCTCAATCAAAAATCTTGCTCCATTACTTCAAAGTGATCTTCCGGATACCTTCTTTCAAGTTCCTTTGCATTTTCTTCTGCTTCTTCTCTTGTTTTAAATCCCCAACATACCACCTGGTTGTTTCTTGCCTTAATCATATATTTCATGTTTCCTTCTTTCTGTCGGTTTAACCATCCCACCGACAAGGATCTGATCTTCTATGCTACCAAATACTTGAATCCATTCACAATCACTGCTGTGATTTCCAGGTTATCATCAAATTCATATTCAAATTCAATTCCCATCACTTTGAGTGTCTGCTCCATTCCCTTCCATTCGCTGAAGATGGGAAACTTTCTGATGTTTCCTTTCCACTCTTCGTCGTTCTTGTTCATCTTTACAATTGCAATCTTGGTTGCCATTTCTTTTGCGATTTCTTTGATTATCTCTGTCATGTTTGTGTCTCCTTTTCTTGAAGTGCTGTGGTGTTTTGTTTATGTCCTTATTATATATCTACTGTGCACAGTAGTCAAGTATTATTTTCATTTTTTTGCAAAAAAAATAACACCTTTCGGTGCATACATAAAAAAACGACACTATTCAATCACTTTCCCCTTTCATTATTTGCTTACTGCATTGCTTACTCTTTAGATTGCTAACTCGTCAAATCCTTATAAATAAAGCATTCTGCGAATTGTCTTCATTGTTCGATTCCCGTCGGAAGCTTTCGGTTTTTGCTTTAAAATGGGCATTTCGGACGAATTCGTCTTGCTTACTATTGAAGGCTTTTGCTTACTCAAATATTTATAGCCTTTTCGATTTGATTCAGATAGTCTGTGCTGTCTTTGTCAATGTCATAATAGTATTTGCGAGTCGTTGCAACTTCGGAATGCCCCATTTGTTTTGTAATGAATATTTCATCAACTCCGGAATTCAGCAATGCTGTTCCGTAGGTTTTCCGAATCTTGTGCATTGATTTCTGCTCCACACCGGAATTTCTACATGCTCGATAGATCCTCTTGTTGAAGGCCCACTTGTTCGACTTCCTTCCATCATGTGTCATCATGAATTCTCCATCCGGATTCAACTCTCTGATTTTTTCAATCGTCTCAAGTGCTGTCTTCGGCAAAGCAATCATTCGATCTCCGGCTTCAGTCTTTGTATATTCCACGACTTCAAAAATCTTCTTCCCTTCACTGTTGCGATAAAGGACTTCTTGTCTCTGTACATGTAACCACTGACCATCCACATCCGAGAATTTCAAAGCTGTCAATTCTCCGGTTCTGATTCCGGTCTGAAATGCAAGAAGCAATCCGTAATTCTCAACACTTGGATTTGATCTGATCCACTCGATGACTTTTTCTTTTTCGCTTTGTGTGAATACCTGGGATTTTTTCTTCTTTCGCTCAAATGCCTTCGAAGAAATGTCCAAGTCTCCAAAGAATGTTGTGATGCTGATGTTCGTCCATCCTCTTTTTTTCGCATATTTGAAAACACCGGTCAAAACTGTTCGCATGTTGCTGAAAGCTTTGACTGTCATCTTCTTTTCTGCGATAGTGTCTCGGATAAAATCTTCAAGATCAACTTCATTGAACATTTCCATCTTTCGGTTTGCAAAATCCGGATCCGAAAAATATCTTTTGAAGTCGTCTTTGTAACGATCCACTGTTCCAGGAACAATCTCTTTCCTTTCAAGTTTCTTTGTGATCCATTCGTCGAAACACTGTTTGAAGGTTGGCGAACCGGATTCCGATTCGTAATATTCTATTATTCTATTGTCAAGATCAACACGATTCTTTTTCTTGACGAGGACTCTTTTGCCTTCGCCATTCCTTGGTGGCAATTCTGTGTACCAATAACCATTGGATGATTGCCATACCTTGTATTTGTGCATCTCAAGATATTTTTGTCTTTCCATAATCTCAATTTGCGATTGAATAGTGTCAAAATCAAGCATACCATTTTTGATCGCATATTCCAATAGCAATCCTTGATCTTTGATTCTGTCTCTGATCATCGTCCGGTTCCTCCTTTCTTATAGATCCCAATCCTTTGCCCTTGTACCAAAAGCACAAGTCTGAATCCTTCCTCTCAATTCTCTTCTAAAAAAACACCTTGAGCAATCCGGATATTCCCTTTCGCAATCTGCTTTAATCTGCAAAGCTTGTTCCCTTCTCATTTTCTCTCTTCTCTTATAAAATGCTTCGGTCATTTTGTCCACCTCCTGGCATCTATCTCCTTTTGCTTGGTTCTTTCGACTTCTTGTTTAGTTCTTTCTTTTTCTTTTTCAAGTTCCAAGGCTTCGGTCTCAACACTTTTGAAATAGTTATATTCTTTTTCTTTAATTTCGTTGTGTTGTTTTTGTATTTCCGGAATGACCATTCCGGAAACGATAATTAAGACACTTATCACTATGCTTATGCATATTATCAATGCTATTTTCATTTGTTTTTCTCCTTAAATATTCAAATAAAAAACCACCAACCGATTATGGTTAGTGGTTAATCTTTTTTTCGCTCTTTTCACTATACTGTACGTTTCATAAACCTTTTAAGCTCAAGTATTTTTATACGGATATATTCAACTGTAGCTTCGTCTTTCGTTGCAATCATGGGATATAAAGCTTTCTTTTGTTCTCGTCTTAAGTGTACTTCTAATTCATCTAACATTTCATCAAATTCTTTATAGGTCATAATAATACCACTCCTTTTAGCTGATTCTACCACCACCATATCCAGTTTTCAATGTACGATAAAATTTATTTCTGCTCCTTTACTTCAATAAACCATCTTTCAAATGTATCTTGCGGAACATCTACAAACACTCCTTTTCGGTGCAATACTGTGTATCCGTTTACATTTCCCAAACAATCCCATACACTTTTGCAGTTTATTTCGAGTCTTATATGCTCTGTTTCAATCATAAAATATTTTATTGCTTTATATTTTTTCATTTCTGCTCCTTTAATTGCTCTTTCTATAATTCCTTTAGTTTTAAAATATCTTTAATAATCACACTACCCATAGAATATCCATGTTGCTCTACAAGCATTTCAACCACTCTATCAATAGTTCTTTTTCTCTCATCTTCCATTAATTCAATAGGTGATAATAATCTTTTCTCTGTCATATTCTTCTCCTTAAAATTCTATTTATAAATTACTTGTCTTAAACCAAAAGATAATTGGATTAAATCGGATTATTCCAATTAAGTCTGTTCCTTAAAAGTTAATCTTCTGAAATCAAGCATCTTTCATCATCAATCATTAAACAATGCTCTATGTTTTCACTACTTGAATATTCCCATCCAGTACTCTGCGTTGATACCACTGCTTTTTTTGCATCCATCGGGCAATCAAGTAAATTTGTAATTAATTCTTTTACTGTCATATTCTTCTCCTTTCGATTATGCTAGTCATTAGTTCACCAACTGTCATTCTTCTGCTCCTTTTTTCAATAGATCCAACACCAAATCAAAAACAAAACAATTGCAACATTGTGAATTCCTATGAACACAATCGAAAAGTGTTTTTCACGAAATTCTGCACCATCAACAATCTTTATCCAGGTTGATGTGTACGACAGAATCACAATGACAATTGTGATTGCTTTTCCTATGGTGGCAACTCCATTCAAGTCCATTTTCATTCTCCTTGCGATTTGATCATCTTGATAACAATATTGTTCGCCCTTGACTCTGCTTCCGAGATGTCTTTTTTTGTGTCTTGGACATAGTCTTCCGTTTCATTCAAGTACTCTGCGTTGATACCACTGCTTACATTCATCATATTTGCACGAATGTTCAAAGTCTTGTTCCGGATGCGTATTTCCTTTTTTGCTTGTCCTATTGGTACAGATTAGACATCAGTGGTATCAACGCAGAGTACTTTTCATCCTTTTGCCCTTCTTCGTCTTCCTCTATTTCTACGATTTTATACTTTGAAACAAGTTTCCCTTTTCTTTCAAGATAAATTGCAGATCTGATCGTTTGAGTTTTGACTCCAATCATGTCTGCAAGTTCCTTGATCGAATCTGCAACAGCAATTGGCAGTTCGCAGTGTTCATTATCAACTGCCATATACACTTTTTTCTTCATGATTCTTCTCCATAAAGTTTTTAATAGCAATCCGGACAAAGATCTTCTCCGTATACAGTTTTCCATCCATCCCATTCCGGATCGGTTGTTTCAGTTTCACATCGATCGCAAACAGTCACTTCAGTTCTCTTTCTTCCACAATCGATGCAAGGAATGTCGCAACCGCAACACATGTTTTCAATTTTGGTCATCCTGGTCCTCCTAATATGCTTTTATAAAATCAGACAATTCCATATATTCTTTTTCATATTCTTTGATAATGTGTTCGATTTCATCCATCCTGGAAACTATCAACGAAAGAACATATTCCGATCTAACCATCGGAATTCTTTTCGATTCTTCCTTTTTCTTTGGTTCTTTCTTTTCTTCCTTCGCAGATATGATTTTCTTGATTTCTTCCGGTGTGGTATCGTTCAGATCTGCAAGAATATCAATCTGCGTTTTAGGATGTTTTGCCGCATTATAATTTCGAATTATCTCATTTGGTGTCATTTCCATTTCGCTTCCCTTTCGATTTCAATTATTTTTTCCGGATCCTTGCATTGTGTTGCCGGTAAGCATGGACTGATTCCACTTGGATCAAATACTTCCCCACGATACCCACCGACTCCAATGCTTCCGAGTGTTTTAACCTCTAACTTCTGCCCCCCCCCTATTTCTGCATGGATTCTCTATTCCTAAAAGGCTTGAAAAGATTTCGCACAGACAGTTCTTCACGATAGAATTTCCGGCTTGTTTGTACAACTGCGTGTTTGAATTGACTGCTTGTGCTTTTTCGAAATCTTCATCATTGAAGTCCATCAGTCTCCAACATTCTCTTGGTGTCAATTTTCTGATTCTTATCCGATACATGACTCCATCGATTTCCCAAATCCAAGGTTCAATGACATTGGGGACACTCTCCGTCGTCAGTGTCGGACATATCTTTCCGTTCTCGATCACTCTTCCTCTCCTTGTTTTGCTTGAAGGATAATTCAGATCTGCAATCCCTGGAATTGTCATCTCGATTGCTCCTTCCTTGGTTGCTTGACTTACATGAATTAGGCCACTCTGCTCTGCTCTGCTCTGCTCTGCTCTGCTCTGCTCTGCTCAAGGATGCTGTTGCTGATCATCGACTTGTCAAGATCTTTTTCGATGATATATGGTGCTTGACCTCCACCCATTCCGGCGGCCGCTTGTATAGTCGGACTCAAAGCTTCGGAATTATAAACCACATATCTCTGATTGCTGTTAGGATCTAAATGTCCCAATATCTGTGCAGATTCAAGAACAAGGTTGTCCTTCTGCACTGTCGTCAGTGTGTTGCAAATTCCTTCTGAATTAGGTTCGACTTGGATTCCTGGTGTACGGTCCGAAGGAT